CCTCCCAGATCTGGACCAGGGCATCACTGAGCTCTTGGACAGTCTGAGGTGCAACCTGGAGGCGTTGGATGGACCGAAACATGACATCCCAGAGGTGTTCTATTGGGTTTAGGTCAGGAGAGTGTGGGGGCCATTCAATGGTATCAATTCCTTCATCCTCCAGGAACTGCCTGCATACTCTCCCCACATGAGGCCGGGCATTGTCTGCACCAGGAGGAACCCAGGACCCACTGCACCAGGAGGAGGAATCGCCCAGGAGGTCCACCGCACCAGGACCCGGGACCCAACCAGGGGAACCCGGGACCCACCGCACCAGGACCCGGGACCCACCGAGGAGGAACCCACCCGCACCAGGAGGAACCCGGGACCCCCTGCGGGGACCCACCGCACCAGGAGGAACCCGGGACCCCCTGCACCAGGAGGAACCCGGGACCCACTGCACCAGTGTAGGGTCTGACAATGGGTCCAAGGATTTCATCCTGATACCTAATGGCAGTCAGGGTGCCATTGTCTAGCCTGTAGAGGTCTGTGTGTCCCTCCATGGATATGCCTCCCCAGACCATCACTGACCCACCCACCATATCGGTCATGCTGAACCATGTTACAGACAGCAGAACGTTCTCCACGGCTTCTCCAGACCCTTTGGGCTGATGGGTTAAGGACCTTCTATGGCCCTGTCCAGCTCTCCTAGAGGAACTGCCTGTCTCCTGGAATCTCCTCCGTGCTCTTGTCTCCTGGAATCTCCTCCATGCTCTTGTCTCCTGGATCTCTCCTCCATGCTCTTGTCTCCTGGAACCTCCTCCATGCTCTTGAGACTGTGCTGGGAGACACAGAAAACCTTCTGGCAATGGCAGGTATTGATGTGCCATCCTGGAGGAGTTGGACTGCCTGTGCAACCTCTGTAGGGTCCAAGTATGGCCCCATGCTACCAGTATTGACACTGACCCGAGCCAACTGCAAACCGAGTGAAAAACAGTCAGAAAAGATGAGTAGGGAAAAAAATGTCAGTGGCCTCCACCTGTAAAACCATTCCTGTTTTGGGGGTCGTCTCATTGTTGCTCATCTAGTGCACCTGTTAACATTTATTTTACTACCAAAGCAGCTGATACTAATGAACAACCACCTCTGCGACTTACCTGACCAGATCCATATCCCAGGACTTTCATTAACTTCATGCGACTCGGATTACAAAGTCTTCTTTTAATTTTTGTGAGCCGTGGACATTTATATAGTTACATAGATCATCTGGTTGGGGGGGGGGAGGGGAGAGCAAACCAAAACACACGTGTAAATAGTAAACCTCCATATACAATCCTACACCCACAAATGATCCAGAGGAAGGCAAAAAACCCAACAAAGTACCAATTTGTACCTACTGGGAAAAAAGATTCCTTCCTGATCCCCCCGAGAGACAATCGGATATTCCCGGGATTAACTTTCCCTATAAATGTTATCCATCCTGGAGGTGATCTGTCGCAGGAGGGTATCCATCCTGGAGGTGATCTGTCGCAGCGGGGTCCATCCTGGAGGTGATCTGTCGCAGCGGGGTCCATCCTGGAGGTGATCTGTCTCAGCGGTATCCATCCTGGAGGTGATCTGTCGCAGCGGGGTATCCATCCTGGAGGCGATCTGTCGCAGCGGGGTCCATCCTGGAGGTGATCTGTCGCAGCGGGGTCCATCCTGGAGGTGATCTGTCGCAGCGGGGTCCATCCTGGAGGTGATCTGTCTCAGCGGTATCCATCCTGGAGGTGATCTGTCGCAGCGGTATCCATCCTGGAGGTGATCTGTCGCAGCGGGGTCCATCCTGGAGGTGATCTGTCGCAGCGGGGTCCATCCTGGAGGTGATCTGTCGCAGCGGGGTCCATCCTGGAGGTGATCTGTCTCAGCGGTATCCATCCTGGAGGCGATCTGTCGCAGCGGGGTCCATCCTGGAGGTGATCTGTCGCAGCGGGATATCCATCCTGGAGGTGATCTGTCGCAGCGGGGGTCCATCCTGGAGGTGATCTGTTGCAGCGGGGTCCATCCTGGAGGCGATCTGTCGCAGCGGTATCCATCCTGGAGGCGATCTGTCGCAGCGGTATCCATCCTGGAAGTGATCTGTCTCAGCGGGGTCCATCCTGGAGGCGATTTGTCGCAGCGGGTCCATCCTTGAGGTGATCTGTCGCAGGGGTATCCATCCTGGAGGTGATCTGTCTCAGTGGGGATCCATCCTGGAGGTGATCTGTCGCAGCGGTATCCATCCTGGAGGTGATCTGTCTCAGCGGGATCCATCCTGGAGGTGATCTGTCTCAGCGGGGTCCATCCTGGAGGTGATCTGTCTCAGCGGTATCCATCCTGGAGGTGATCTGTCTCAGTGGGGGTCCATCCTGGAGGCGATCTGTCTCAGCGGGGGTCCATCCTGGAGGTGATCTGTCGCAGCGGTATCCATCCTGGAGGTGATCTGTCGCAGCGGTATCCATCCATCCTGGAGGTGATCTGTCTCAGTGGGGAGGTGATCCATCCTGGAGGCGATCTGTCGCAGCGGTATCCATCCTGGAGGTGATCTGTCTCAGCGGGGGGATCCATCCTGGAGGTGATCTGTCTCAGTGGGGATCCATCCTGGAGGTGATCTGTCTCAGCGGGATCCATCCTGGAGGGGATCTGTCGCAGCGGTATCAATCCTGGAGGCGATCTGTCGCAGCGGTATCCATCCTGGAGGTGATCTGATCTGTCTCAGCGGGGATCCATCCTGGAGGTGATCTGTCTCAGCGGGGATCCATCCTGGAGGTGATCTGTCTCAGCGGGATCCATCCTGGAGGGGATCTGTCGCAGCGGTATCCAATCTGATCTCGCAGCGGTATCCATCCTGGAGGTGATCTGTCTCAGCGGTATCCATCCTGGAGGTGATCTGTCGCAGCGGGGGTCCATCCTGGAGGCGATCTGTCGCAGCGGTATCCATCCTGGAGGTGATCTGTCTCAGCGGGGATCCATCCTGGAGGTGATCTGTCTCAGTGGGGATCCATCCTGGAGGTGATCTGTCTCAGCGGGATCCATCCTGGAGGGGATCTGTCGCAGCGGTATCCATCCTGGAGGTGATCTGTCACAGCGGTATCCATCCTGGAGGTGATCTGTCTCAGCGGGGTCCATCCTGGAGGTGATCTGTCGCAGCGGGGTCCATCCTGGAGGTGATCTGTCTCAGTGGTATCCATCCTGGAGGTGATCTGTCTCAGTGGGGTCCATCCTGGAGGTGATCTGTCTCAGTGGGGTCCATCCTGGAGGTGATCTGTCTCAGCGGTATCCATCCTGGAGGTGATCTGTCTCAGCGGTATCCATCCTGGAGGTGATCTGTCTCAGTGGGGTCCATCCTGGAGGTGATCTGTCTCAGCGGGGTCCATCCTGGAGGTGATCTGTCGCAGCGGGGTCCATCCTGGAGGTGATCTGTCTCAGCGGTATCCATCCTGAGGTGGAGGTGATCTGTCTCAGCGGGGTCCATCCTGGAGGTGATCTGTCTCAGGGTATCCATCCTGGAGGTGATCTGTCTCAGCGGTATCCATCCTGGAGGTGATCTGTCTCAGCGGGGTCCATCCTGGAGGTGATCTGTCTCAGTGGGGTCCATCCTGGAGGTGATCTGTCTCAGCGGGGTCCATCCTGGAGGTGATCTGTCTCAGTGGGGGTCCATCCTGGAGGTGATCTGTCTCAGCGGTATCCATCCTGGAGGTGATCTGTCGCAGCGGTATCCATCCTGGAGGTGATCTGTCTCAGGGGGTCCATCCTGGAGGTGATCTGTCTCAGCGGGGTCCATCCTGGAGGTGATCTGTCGCAGCGGGGTCCATCCTGGAGGTGATCTGTCTCAGCGGTATCCATCCTGGAGGTGATCTGTCTCAGCGGGGTCCATCCTGGAGGTGATCTGTCTCAGTGGGGTCCATCCTGGAGGTGATCTGTCTCAGTGGGGTCCATCCTGGAGGTGATCTGTCTCAGTGGGGTCCATCCTGGAGGTGATCTGTCTCAGTGGGGTCCATCCTGGAGGTGATCTGTCTCAGCGGGGTCCATCCTGGAGGTGATCTGTCGCAGCGGGGTCCATCCTGGAGGTGATCTGTCTCAGCGGTATCCATCCTGGAGGTGATCTGTCTCAGCGGGGTCCATCCTGCAGGTGATCTGTCTCAGCGGGGTCCATCCTGGAGGTGATCTGTCTCAGCGGGGTCCATCCTGGAGGTGATCTGTCTCAGTGGGGTCCATCCTGGAGGTGATCTGTCTCAGTGGGGTCCATCCTGGAGGTGTTGCTCCATTGCTGCATACACGCGGCACACTGTGCACTGCACAAACCCCTCCCCCACTACACCTCATATCCCAGGTACAGTATTATTATACAGGATTTATATGTCACCAACAGTGTGCGCAGCGCTGTACAAATCCCCTCCCCCCCCACTACACCTCATATCCCAGGTACAGTATTATTATACAGGATTTATATGGCACCAACAGTGTGCGCAGCGCTGTACAATCCCCTCCCCCCCCCCCACTACACCTCATATCCCAGGTACAGTATTATTATACAGGATTTATATGGCACCAACAGTGTGCGCAGCGCTGTACAAACCTTCCATCCTGCTAGCACACATATCCCAGGTACAGTATTAACAGGAAATATCAGATGTCACTTACAGGTTAGTAGACTCCAGGTATAATCTCCTGTTTTCCCCTCCCTTTGTCCGATTCCCCACTTTTTGTCCGATTCCCCACTTTTTGTCAGATTCCCCACTTTGTCCGATTCCCCACTTAGTCAAAGTTTCAACAAGCAAAACGAGTGATATATAGTACCTGGAGCAGCTGTGAACATTTACCGCTCCCCTTCATTAGCAGACTGAAGGAAGGAAAGAAAACAAATCCTATCTAAAAAGGGTCAGAAAGGGGATATAAAAAGCTGCTCCAAAGGCCCCAAAGCAGAAAATAAAACAACTGCAACCACAAGCAATGTAGCTCTGACATATTCTGTAGCGCTGTACAAAGTGGTATTATCTCACCAGTGCCCTCATGTTGGCGGCGGGGGGGTCGGTCTGCGATCGGTAGACGTTGTGTTTGTCCACAATCAGTTTCTTCTCCTTGTTGCTCAGTGCAGAGATGAGGAGGGGGAGGCAGAGAAGAAGAGGATGAAGATGACGGTATCTCCCCATGGCCAAGTGTGTTATATGGTACAGGTGTGATCAGTGCTGCACATCGGTATAGGGCGGTGAGATGGGTTGTATATTTCACCTGCGTTACCTGGGCATTACACTACCTGTGTGTCAGTTTGTATCAGTCAGTGCTGCGGGTGTCAGTGCTGTGGGTGTCAGTGCTGCGGGTGTCAGTGCTGAGGGTGTCAGTGGTGCGGGTATCAGTGCTGCGGGTGTCAGTGCTGCGGGTGTCAGTGCTAGTTCCTATAGTGCACAGTGTGGTTGTCCTGGCAGTGTGTATGAATTGCCAGTGTCTGTCCTGTGTAGTGTCAGTATATCTCAGTGTCAGTATAGCTGTCTCAGTGTCAGTATCAGCTATCTCAGTGTCAGTGTCAGTGTCAGTGTCAGTCAGTATATCTCAGTGTCAGTATATCTCAGTGTCAGTATAACTCACTGTCAGTGTCAGTGTAGAAGCTGTGCAGCTCTCTGCGCAGACTGAGGGAAGGAGACTATAAAGCGAGGATCTGGGTGTGCCGTGCGTCACGTCTCCACCCATTGATGTATTATTATTCTGTGTTGTAGGGACCAGGGACTGGGCTGAGCCGAGAACACTCCGTCCGTCCAGCTGGGGAGCGGTAACAGCCCTCTGTTTTGTAGATTTTCTGCCCATTAATGTCCAGGATTTATAGTATTCTATCGGGTTTGTATTGTTATTATTTTCCTGTTCAGGATTTCTATTGTATTAAATTCATTCCTGATCTGCACAGGTGTCACCCCCAGGAGTCCCTTTAACCCCTCCCTGCCCCGTGGTCACGCGGTTCTCTTCCTGCATTAGAATTACAGATGAGCCTCTTTATTGGCTGAGTCATTTCCTGCAGTGCCAGTTGGCCGAGCGAATGCATTTCATTCATGGCAGGACACGGCTCATGGTGTCATCACAGGAGATTGACCTCACACGTAGAATGAACACGTGTGCAGGACAGGGACATTCCATGATTTACCTAACAAGCAATAGACCATTCCTCACTGACCTCTGTAGCTGCAGCCACTGTGGATCAGTTCATCCTCAGCAATCATAAGAGGAGCAGGGAGGTCCTTCCAGTCTGGTCTCAGCACTCTGCTCTCTCCCCTCTTCCTGGGCTCCTGTTCACATTACAGAATAAAAGGCTGGTGGACTGAGCGCCTGAGTCACTGCAGGAAGGGGGGAGGGTGGGGAGAGGCAGGGGGAGCTGAGCTGTCACGTCACTGCTGGGGGGGGGAGTAGGAGGGAACTGAGCTGTCACGTCACTGCTGGGCTGGGGGGAGGAGGGGGAACTGAGCTATTACGTCACTGCTGGGAGGGGGGGAGTAGGAGGAACTGAGCTGTCACGTCACTGCTGGGGGGGGGGAGGGGGACTGAGCTGTCACGTCACTGCTGGGAGGGGGGGAGTGAGCTGTCACGTCACTGCTGGGGGGGGAGTAGGAGGAACTGAGCTGTCGTCGACACACTGCTGGGAGGGGGGGGGGGAGTAGAGTAGAGTAGGAGGAACTGAGCTGTCACGTCACTGCTGGGAGGGGGGAGTAGGAGGAACTGAGCTGTCACGTCACTGCTGGAGGGGGGGAGTAGGAGGAACTGAGCTGTCACGTCACTGCTGGGGGGGGAGTAGGAGGAACTGAGCTGTCACGTCACTGCTGGGAGGGGGGAGTAGGAGGAACTGAGCTGTCATGTCACTGCTGGGAGGGGGGAGTAGGGAGGAACTGAGCTGTCACACTCAGTGTGGGAGGGGGGAGTAGGAGGAACTGAGCTGTCACGTCACTGCTGGGGGGGGGAGTCATTTCCTGCAGTAGGAGCGAATGCACATTCATGGCAGGACAGCTCTGGTGTCAACAGGAGATTGACCTCACACGTAGAATGAACACGTGTGCAGGACAGGGACATTCCATGATTTACCTAACAAGCAATAGACCATTCCTCACTGACCTCTGCTCAGCAATCATAAGAGGAGCAGGAGGTCCTTCCAGTCTGGTCTCAGCAGCTGGTTGCTCTCTCCCCTCTTCCTGGGGAGTCCTGTTCACATTACAGAATAAAAGGCTGGTGGCTGAGCGCCTGAGTCACTGCTAGGGGGGAGGGTGGGGAGAGGCAGGGGAGCTGAGCTGTCACGTCACTGCTGGGGGGGGAGTAGGAAGGAACTGAGCTGTCACGTCACTGCTGGGAGGGGGGAGTAGGAGGAACTGAGCTGTCACGTCACTGCTGGGAGGGGGGAGTAGGAGGAACTGAGCTGTCACGTCACTGCTGGGGGGGGAGTAGGAGGAACTGAGCTGTCACGTCACTGCTGGGAGGGGGGGTAGGAGGAACTGAGCTGTCACGTCACTGCTGGGGGGGGAGTAGGAGGAACTGAGCTGTCACGTCACTGCTGGGAGGGGGGGAGTAGGAGGAGGAACTGAGCTGTCACGTCACTGCTGGGGGGGGGGGGGGAGTAGGAGGAACTGAGCTGTCACGTCACTGCTGGGGGGGGGAGTAGGAGGAACTGAGCTGTCACGTCACTGCTGGGAGGGGGGGTAGGAGGAGGAACTGAGCTGTCATGTCACTGCTGGGGGGGGGGGGGAGTAGGAGGAACTGAGCTGTCACGTCACTGCTGGGGGGGGGAGTAGGAGGAACTGAGCTGTCATGTCACTGCTGGGGGGGGGGGGAGTAGGAGGAACTGAGCTGTCACGCCACTGCTGGGAGGGGGGGAGTAGGAGGAACTGAGCTGTCACGTCACTGCTGGGAGGGGGGAGTAGGAGGAACTGAGCTGTCACATCACTGCTGGGAGGGGGGAGTAGGAGGAACTGAGCTGTCACGTCACTGCTGGGGGGGGGGAGTAGGAGGAACTGAGCTGTCATGTCACTGCTTGGAGGGGGGGGAGTAGGAGGAACTGAGCTGTCACCCACTGCTGGGGGGGGGGGGAGTAGGAGGAACTGAGCTGTCATGTCACTGCTGGGAGGGGGAGTAGGAGGAACTGAGCTGTCACATCACTGCTGGGAGGGGGGGGGGGGAGTAGGAGGAACTGAGCTGTCACATCACTGCTGGGAGGGGGGAGTAGGAGGAACTGAGCTGTCACGTCACTGCTGGGGGGGGGAGTAGGAGGAACTGAGCTGTCATGTCACTGCTGGAGGGGGGGGAGGTAGGAGGAAACTGAGTCACATCAGTGCTGGGAGAGTAGGAGGAACTGAGCTGTCACGTCACTGCTGGGGGGGGGGGGAGTAGGAGGAACTGAGCTGTCACGTCACTGCTGGGAGGGGGGAGTAGGAGGAACTGAGCTGTCACGTCACTGCTAGGGGGGGGGGAGAGTAGGAGGAACTGAGCTGTCACATCAGTGCTGGGAGGGGGGAGTAGGAGGAACTGAGCTGTCACGTCACTGCTGGGGGGGAAGTAGGAGGAACTGAGCTGTCATGCCACTGCTGGGAGGGGGGAGTAGGAGGAACTGAGCTGTCACATCAGTGCTGGGAGGGGGGAGTAGGAGGAACTGAGCTGTCACATCAGTGCTGGGAGGGGGGAGTAGGTAGGGAACTGAGCTGTCACATCACTGCTGGGGGGGGGAGTAGGAGGAACTGAGCTGTCACGCCACTGCTGGGGGGGGGGAGTAGGAGGAACTGAGCTGTCACGTCACTGCTGGGAGGGGGGAGTAGGAGGAACTGAGCTGTCACGTCACTGCTGGGAGGGGGGAGTAGGAGGAACTGAGCTGTCACGTCACTGCTGGGGGGGGGAGTAGGAGGAACTGAGCTGTCACGTCACTGCTGGGAGGGGGGAGTAGGAGGAACTGAGCTGTCACGCCACTGCTGGGGGGGGGGAGTAGGAGGAACTGAGCTGTCACGTCACTGCTGGGGGGGGGAGTAGGAGGAACTGAGCTGTCACATCACTGCTGGGGGGGGGGAGTAGGAGGAACTGAGCTGTCACGTCACTGCTGGGGGGGGGGGGAGTAGGAGGAACTGAGCTGTCACGTCACTGCTGGGAGGGGGGAGTAGGAGGAACTGAGCTGTCACATCAGTGCTGGGGGGGGGAGTAGGAGGAACTGAGCTGTCACATCACTGCTGGGGAGGGGGGGAGAGGAGGGAACTGAGCTGTCACGTCACTGCTGGGAGGGGGGAGTAGGAGGAACTGAGCTGTCACGTCACTGCTGGGGGGGGGGAGTAGGAGGAACTGAGCTGTCACGCCACTGCTGGGGGGGGGAGTAGGAGGAACTGAGCTGTCACGTCACTGCTGGGAGGGGGGAGTAGGAGGAACTGAGCTGTCACGTCACTGCTGGGGAGGGGGGAGTAGGAGGAACTGAGCTGTCACGTCACACTGCTGGGGGGGGGGGAGTAGGAGGAACTGAGCTGTCACGCCACTGCTGGGAGGGGGGAGTAGGAGGAACTGAGCTGTGTCACGTCACTGCTGGGAGGGGGGAGTAGGAGGAACTGAGCTGTCACGTCACTGCTGGGGGGGGAGTAGGAGGAACTGAGCTGTCACGTCACTGCTGGGGAGGGGGGGGGGTAGGTAGGAACTGAGCTGTCACGCCACTGCTGGGGGGGAGTAGGAGGAACTGAGCTGTCACGCCACTGCTGGGAGGTGGGAGTAGGAGGAACTGAGCTGTCACGTCACTGCTGGGAGGGGGGAGTAGGAGGAACTGAGCTGTCACGTCACTGCTGGGAGGGGGGAATAGGAGGAACTAAGCTGTCACGTCACTGCTGGGGTGGGGTGTAGGAGGAACTGAGCTGTCACGTCACTGCTGGGAGGGGGGAGTAGGAGGAACTGAGCTGTCACGTCACTGCTGGGAGGGGGGAATAGGAGGAACTAAGCTGTCACGTCACTGCTGGGGTGGGGTGTAGGAGGAACTGAGCTGTCACGTCACTGCTGGGAGGGGGGAGTAGGAGGAACTGAGTTGTCACGTCACTGCTGGGAGGGGGGAGTAGGAGGAGCTGAGCTGTCACGTCACTGCTGGGGGGGGTGTAGTAGGAGGAACTCAGCTGTCACATCACTGCTGGGGAGGGGGGGAGTAGGAGGAACTGAGCTGTCATGTCAC